CGGCTCTAAACTACGGCCTCTAAGACACCTTTAATCTCATCCAATGGACATAAAACTCCGTACAGCTTTCGATCAATACCTATTCTCACTTGCCACCAATGTTCAGCCTCCAATATTTTACGAGATATTTTAGTCAGAAGATCAACATACTCCAGCCTACCGATGGACGGTACTTTCAACTCGTGCACCAACGGATATGCCTCCATCAGTACTCCATCTTCGAAGAACAGCAACACTGGTCCATCTACAACAATCAGTACCCCACCTTCGAACAACAGCAACACTGGTCCATCTACAACCATCAGTATCCCACCTTCAAAGAACAGCAACACTGGTCCATCTACAACAATCAGTATCCCACCTTCGAACAACAGCAACACTTGTCCATCTACAACCATCAGTACTCCAACTTCGAACAACAGCAACACTGGTCCATCTACAACCATCAGTACTCCACCTTCGAACAATAGCAACACTGGTCCAAGTACAACAATCAGTATCCCACCTTCGAACAACAGCAACACTGGTCCATCTACAACCATCAGTACTCCACCAGGAACGTATCTTAGGGTATGTTTCCTTGGCTTTTCTAAGGCGTTTGACCATATAGACCACACTATTCTTGTACGAAAKCTCCTGGGTATGGGCGCAAGAACTAGCATCATAAGATGGGTGTGTAGCTTCCTATCACTRAGAAGACAAGCTGAGAAGCTCAACGGTGTACTTTCCAAGTGGGCCCCAGTGCATGCTGGTGTTCCACAGGGAACAAAACTGGGACCAATCCTATTCCTCATCATGGTTAATGACTTAGCTCAAAGATCAAGTCATTGGAAATACGTGGATGATATCTCATTGTCTTAAAAGCGGATGTCTGTAAGGGTCGAGAACCTCGCAACAGTTCAAAAAATTCGAAATTCTTTTTATTACACCAAAAGAATCCCTTTATGAAACTATTTCAGAAAATCTTATTGAAAAGTCCGAGGAATTTTTTTTGGGTCGAATTTTACCAAATTTCGAAAATCGGGCTTGAGCGCGTGATTTCGGCGTTTTCAAAGAGTCAAATAATTCTCAAGTTTAGCGCGATCCTGTACTCGAACACAAATCGAGACAAACTTGATATTCTACTCGTTTGGTAAACATATCAATAGGTTTCCAAACCACTAAAAAATATTTTCTTTTAGATAAGAATTTGCTTTGTTTTGAAGCATTTTCTTCGACTAATTTTTAACCTCACATTAATACATGTAAACAAGGCCTATGTTCAGGCAGTCAAAACTACTCTTGGTATATGTATTTTGAATATAGAATTTACATAGATGGAAAGCTTTACTATCCCTCTTTCCATGAGATAAGTTTCAAGCTTGGGAAATTTAAAGGTCGGACAAAATATTTTTCTGACGTGACACACCTTTTACGTTTCCAATATGCAAATTAAAGGAATGTTGGCCAGAAAAAAATATTTTTTAACAACACTTCTAGAATAACATGCTTGTCAGAAAGTCCAAAACAAAGAATAAGGGCATAAGGTATCAATAATAATAAGAAATATGAAAATATTTTGATTTACAATGTAAGAAATTTCGTGTTTGATCTTTTATAACGTGACAATCGAACGCAGGACTTGTCATCTATATTGAACAACATCCAACGAAGAACTGTTACGTCTCGAAAATAAAACCTTTTTAAGTTTACGGCATAGWAATTTCCGAATGCAAAATTGTGAGTTGAAAACTTAAAGGAAAAATCCAGTAGCAAGTCTGGAACTTCTGGACGGATCTTGACTAGTTGAATTGTGTGGCAAGCGTGACCCGTTAACGCAATCCTGTCTAACGGGTTTGCGCAAYATACAGTACCCTTTCTACCGATGGCACAATACTTACTTGAGAGTAGTTATGGCTTTGTGTGGGTTTCGAAACCTTTTAATCGAGGCAACTGAATGTGGGTCATCTCAAGAATACGACGATCATGGTTGCGTTACGTTACAGAACTGTAACAGAGACGTGACAAAACACCTCAAACTTTATAAAATTAGTTCTGATCTGGGAGTCGACAATGAAATGAAATTGTTACTTGCATGAACAGGTAAGCCGCACCGATTTGTTGGAATTTCAAACGCTCTGCTTAAGTTTAAATACTGAATATATTTTGTTAGGTATCTTTACAGTGGAGGAAAATTATGCATCGACTACCATCTGTCCTTATCATCGTGATCATTTTGGAGTTAGGTGGAGATGCGGCAAAGTCTCCTGCTCATTGCCAAACGAAATAGCCTGGCATAAATCCCCAAAAGTTAAAGGAGA